CGCACCTGCGGCATGAGGAGGACGGAGCGCACCTGCGCGCGAGCACTCATCCACCTGATGTACGGTATCGTATATAGATCTGATGATATTCCAGTCGCAGCAGAAGTAGCCTACTCTGAACACAAGTTTACTTTAACTTTACAATGGATTAGACAGTCGATGGATATGATTAGTATTTTTCATATATTAATCTTTATCGAGTATGAGGATATTGTCTTGCTCAGTGTCACAATGGTGATGAATCACCGGAGGCAAGTATTAAATCTACACATTTTCACATAGCTAAAGGTGAAACCATTGCGCTACATCCTGTCAAAATCGTTCAGTGACATTCAAGGGGGAGGAGGGGTTTTTAATCTCGAGCCTTGTCCAACCGTAGTTCCCCTCTTTTGATAAACAAAAAACTTTTTTGTTATACACTTGCGATATATAAATATATAAATATGATAGTACGGTCTAAAGTCACATTTCACCGAAAGCTCTCGAGCAGCCTGCTGTTTCAATGGTTCGCGAACGTCTATTTACTGCGCTAAACTAATCTAAATTTTGTGGCTATGAAATCAATAATACTAATTACTAAATGATTTTCAAACGCTCGACATTTAAGGACATTTCTGTCCGTCCAAATGACTTTGGTTCCCATCTGATTGATTATTTACTTAAATGTATACACTTTGGACATTGTGAACTCATTTATTCAAGAATTCCTGATCAAAATATATTTCCCGCTATTCAGAAATAAATAGAGCGCACTCATTCACTAAACTGGATTTAAACAAGCAGGTGCAAATGTTGACTCAATATGACCCATCAATCTTTCAGAAAGAGATCTGCTAAATAGTTCAAATGTCAGAATAAGTTTTATCATCCTGTCTCTGCATTACATGAATGCTGTGATAAAACGGGTAGGCCGACTTAAGTAAAAATCACAATTTCTTTAGCTGTGGCTACAAATTTATCAAAAATCTGTTTACTTCCTTTTAGTGTGACTTAATTAGGGAATAGTGGTATTTAAAAATATTTGTAATTTTTAATAATAAATGTTTGTTAACATACAGTGACATGAAATTATTAAAATAACCCCCTTCAAAAGTTTGGGAACCCTTGGTTCTTAATAGTGTGTGTGGTTACCTGGATGATCCACGACTGTTTTTTGTTTTGTGATGATTGTTCTTGAGTCCCTTGTTTGTTCTGAACCATTAAACTGAGCACTGTTCTTCAGAAAAATCCTCTGTGTCCTGCAGATTCTTCAGTTTTCCAGCATCTTTTGCATATTTGAACCCTTTCCAGCAGTGACTGTATGATTTTGAGACACATCTTTTCACACTGAGGACAATTGAGGGACTCAAACACAACTATTAAAAAAGGTTCAAACATTCACTGATGCTCCAGAAGGAAACATGATGCATTAAGAGCTTTTGAACAGGATGAAGATGTCCCAATGTTTCTTATTTTGCTGAAATATACTTTTTTCCCATTTAGTACTGCCCTTTGGAAGCAACAGATGATACTTGCATGTTTCCCGGAAGACAAATAAATATGCAAAAGATGCTGGAAAACTGAAGAATCTGCAGGACACAGAGGATTTTTCTGAAGAACAGTGCTCAGTTTAACTGTTCAGAACAAACAAGGGACTCATGAACAACCATCACAAAACAAAAAACAGTGGTAGATCATCCAGGAAACCACACACAGCATTAAGAACCAAGGGTTCCCAAACTTTTGAAGGGGGTTATTTTTATAATTTCAGCAATTTTTTTGTCTTGTGGACTATATGTAAACATATTTTATGTAAAATATCTTACTCAGGACAGTACTAAATAAAAAATAACATATCTTATTTTGTTAAAATTATTCACATTTTCAGATTCTGCAAGGGGTTCCCAAACTTTCACACGTCACTGTACATATGTAGGCCTATAATTTTATAATCTCATATATAATTGAGACTACATGTATTATTTGAACTAAAAGGACTTTTTGTGTGAATTTCACAAAAGTAAGATGTGATTAAAATAGCACCTAGTTACAAATATACACTTTACCATATAAATATACATAATGTTGACGCAAAAGTTTGATGTTGTTGCCTAAAAAGTCTGTGTTATTTGTCAACTATACGGTTATAGATATAGACATAGACATATATAAGACAAATGATTCACTAGATTTTCACTAGAATACATTTTCCCTCCAACGCTATCACAAATACACACCTCAAAGCACCGCTTTGGCGCGCCTAGGCCATTCGAATAATGACATCATCAAGGCGCGCCGGCGTCCATTAATGTTTGCGTGCGGGGAATAATGGCGTTGTGCACAATATTACGATGTGCTTCTGGTAGTTTGACCTCCTCTCTGCCTCGACTGTCAAACAGAAACGCTCGGACTCCAGCTGGACTGATCGCGAGGACATGCTATAAAAGAGGCCTGAGCACCACCACTCGATTTTGCGCAGGTATTCAAACTTATGAATGTTTTCAGGCGACTCGCGTGAAAGTTTAGATCCGTCTGTTTGTGCACTTATGCTGCAGTCATTCAAATGCTATGGTAGTGATAAACTCAGAATGAATGAACTATATTACATGCACAGTTATAATTCTTGTTGCTCTACACCTTTATCCGCCTGTGACCACAGCAAATCCGTTTTCTCTGTTCATTCTGCAGCACTGAAGTTCACAGACAAGCACGAGTGGGTTCGCGTGGACAGTGGTGTGGCAACAGTGGGCATCAGTAATTTTGCACAGGTTAGACTGGTTATTAAGACTTAATTGTCATAGGAAGAGGTGTTTTTTGGACAATATAGGATGTATTGTCACGTGTTTATAATGTAATGTTCCCAGGAGGCACTGGGGGACGTGGTCTACTGTGGGCTTCCTGAAGTTGGCACAAAGTTGGCACAGTCTGGTAGCTACTCTTGCTCTGGAGAATACTGCTTTTGAAAAACTTGTTCTGTAAAGTAGGATACAGTTATATGTTACAAAATACAGTTGTTGTAAATCAAGCAAATATTAGAATCAATTATTATTTTGTTTATGTATTGTTATCTGTACCGTAGATGAATTTGGTGCTCTGGAGAGTGTTAAAGCAGCGAGTGAGTTGTACTCTCCTCTGATGGGGGAAGTGACAGATGTCAATGACGCCTTGGCGGACAACCCAGGACTTGTCAACAAATCTTGCTATAAAGATGGTGAGACATTACAATCTCATTTAGACAAACTAGCCTGGGATCTTTCAACTTAAAGGAATAGTTCACCCAAATATGAAGATGAACCCACCCTCAAGCCATCCCAGATTTAGATGAGTTTGTTTCTTCATCAGAACAGATTTGGAGAAATTTAGCATTACGTTACTTGCTCAACAATGGATGCTCTGCAGTGAATGGGTGCCGTCAGAATGAGAGTCCAAACAGCTGATAAAAGCATCACAGTTATCACCATCAGTCATGTGAAGCGAAAAGCTGCGTGTTTGTAAGAAACAAATCCATCATTAAGATGTTCTAATTTTAAATAAAAAATATGATTTAATACGCTCCTCCAGTGAAAAAGTCCGTCAACTGTTGTCCTCTCACATCAAAATGCAAAGGTGTATATTTTTCTCCTGATTCAGACGAAGGAATGTTAACTGATGGACTGGAGTCTGGTGGATTATTGTGATGTTTTTATCAGCTGTTTGGACTCTCATTCTGACGGCACCCATTCACTGCGGAGGATCCACTGGTGAGCAAGTGATAGAATGCTACGTTTCTCCAAATCTGTTCTGATGAACAAACAAACTCATGTACATCTTGGATGGCCTCTCAAAAAATGTACATTTTGTCATCAGTAAGTGTCTGTTTTGTTCACAGGCTGGCTGATAAAGATGACTGTATCTATTCCGGAGGAATTGGATGGACTGATGGATGAAGTTGCTTATGAGAGATACATCAAATCTATAGAGGACTAGAGCGTGCTGCTGGCATGTTGCATATGGGGGAGAATTTAAAAACTATCAATTAAGGAATGTTTATAGTAGTTGATTTAGTTTAGATGTTCTCTTAAATTACATTTTCCCATCCACCCACAGAAGGGGACCACATGGACACAACATTATGCACTTCGCTTGGAAAGCAACAAGCAAACCTGATTGGATTGAGCCAGTTACTGTATGTAGCCACAGAGACACAGACTATGTAACAGTTTCATCTCTTTTGTAGATGTTACACTGTTCCTGTAAAAGCTTGTCATTGCTTGGAATAAGCTACAAATAAAATGTGGAAGGGGGAATAACACCAAATGTCCATTCTGAGGACAGCTATGAAACCTGGTGAAATCGGTCTTGATTTAAAAGAACTCATAACTGAGTTAGTGATTAACATCAATTAACAACATTAAACATCTAAACACTTATCTGGTTTTATTGCATTAGAAATCTTGCTTTTTGATGCCAAATGTGCCTCTGACAGAGATCTAATTTACAAAATAAAGAGCCCAATGTCTGCAAATGAATTATTTTTAGTAGTATTGTTTTATAAAACGCCTATAAAGAAAACAAACCTTAAGTCATAAATATGTTAAATTTTATCAAACAGTTTTCAATACCATGATGGATGTGTTTGTACAGGATAAGAAAATTGCTCATGCTGCATTTATATAGTCAACATGAAATCAAAACGGACCATACTTGCTTCCTAATATAGTTGCTTACAAGTCAAAATTATGTCAAAAGTCTGTTTTTCTGATCTCTAGATGTAATAAAAGAATAAGATGTTTTTCCATCGTCATATCTACCAGGTAAAAACCTTAAGTCTGATAACTTAGAGAAGTAATGATTCACTATATAAACACATGAGCTATAATAATAGTCCATCTAAATAGGCCATTTGTATTGAATTATTTACTAAAGTTTTAAAAAGTCAATATCAAACATGTTTGATATCTTCAGACTAGATTTAATCAAAGTCTGAAGCTAAAAAAATCTTGAGTCTGTGCTCATAATACACTACATGAATATGTGTGAAATCAACTGAAAATCTGCTGACTGGTGTCGGCTTAAAGTTGTGTAGTGTATTCCAGCCCTAACATGCCAGTCTGTTATCTGTGGGGAACAGCGACACCTCCAGGCACTTTGCTGTAAGGGTCTCTGGTTGGGGTACGTCTGGCCCTGCCGCATGAGACTATGGGTTGAGGCAGACCCTCCAGAAGACACCAGTCCCTCTCTAACCTCTCTACGCTGCGCGTTCTCACACATCACGCTGGCTGTGAAGTCTCTCTCATTTAGGAAGGCAATGGTTTCGTCCCGTTTGCGGCTGACGTAGCCCTTCAGCACAGCGCTGTACGGGTTATCTTGCCTGTCTGGATCCTCTGACTGGTGTTTAAACTCCATGAGGGTGATGACTGGGAGGAGAAACCCGGTTCCTTCACGACTCACAACATCCTCCATACTGCCCAGAGCTTCCTGCACCAGCCTTGCAGGAACAGGTACCAGGTCACAGCCTGATCGCTGGTCAACAAACTCCCTAAAGCGCCTTCTCACCGACGCAACATCCTGTAGAGACTGTGCACGTCGCTCCTCAAGGTCAACAACAATCCGCTCTGGGTAGTTGCCACCTAAAACCACACCTGTGAACAGAAAGTGAGAATAGATAGTATATATATGATTTAGTATAAATGTGATTTAACCTAGTGTCCCGCTAGGAAAAGAAAATGTATGGGACTTGATATTATTGGGAATACTGGTGGACAATATAACCAAAATCCTATATTGCGATATGAGTAATTTTATTTCACGATAAAGTTATTTTTGCTGTATACTGCCCAGCCCTAAATTGGAAATTGACCAGATTGAAGGCATTTGTGTTTTCTACAATCAGCATTATTGATGGATTACTGTGCATTTTCAGCTATTTGACCACTATATATATATATATATATATAAAACACTAAACAAAGCATTATGAATAACTGTGATAATCGTGAACAGATTATATAGTACAACAGACCTGCTCTACGCAGCATTGACGCTGGGCACTTCCAGGGCTTATGGATAAGGTCATTAGGAAGTGCCTTCAGTTCAGGACACCACTGCCGCACATAGGTGCCATAGGGGTCACAGGTCAGCGCTGCATCAACAGGGTGCATGACGAAGTTCCAGTGATCCAGTCCACACATTCCTCCATTCTGCCACATCATGGCATGGGTATCCTGTGTATCCACGCTGCCATGCCTTCAGATGGACACGGTCTGAACTCCAGCGCAAAGCCTGCTCATGGATAACAATAATCACGTAACTAAATATATACATTTTCTGATGCCACATGGATGCTAGGATGTTGTTGGTGGTTGCTTGGGCATTAACATGCTGGATTATTTAATGTGGAAAAATATGACACCTCTCCTCAATAAAACATGAGTTATGCACAGAAGATTTATAATATGGCTAGGGGTTTTGCATTAGCTGTAGCATCACATTGTTATGGAAGCTTATAATAAAAAAAAAGATTACGACTTTTTATCTCACAATTCTGACATTTTTTCTTGCAATTTTGACTTCCTTTCTCAGAATTAAAAGTTCACATCTTGCAATTGTGATTTTTTTTCTCTCAGAATTCCGAGTTGACATCTCACAGTTTTGACTGGAAAAATATGACACCTCTCCTCAATAAAACATGAGTTATGCACAAAAGATTTATAATATGGCTAGGGGTTTTGCATTAGCTGTAGCATCACATTGTTATGGAAGCTTATTTTGGCCAAGAAATAAAAATATAAAAAAAAAGATTATGACTTTTTATCTCACAATTCTGACATTTTTTCTTGCAATTTTGACTTCTTTTCTCAGAATTAAAAGTTCACATCTTGCAATTGTGATTTTTTTTCTCTCAGAATTCCGAGTTGACATCTCACAGTTTTGACTTTTTTCCCCCAAGAATTCGAGTTCACATCTCACAATTGTGACTTTTCTCAGAATTAATAAATGCAACTGCAAGATATTAACTTGCAATTAAGAAAAAGTCAGAAATGTAAGATACAAACTTGCAATTGCAAGAAAAAAAAATCACTAAATCATTAGAAGAATAAGGATTTAGTGTCTTTTGCATGTCTCACCTGAAACCAGCTGTATCCTTCCTGCCAGGCAATATGCAGATAAGCGATGAAGAAGGAGGCAACCACGTGTCTCATGTAGTTGTTCATCCAGCCAGTTTGCCACAGCTGTCTCATTGCCGCATCTACCAGTGGGTATCCTGTGTATCCACGCTGCCATGCCTTCAGATGGACACGGTCTGAACTCCAGCGCAAAGCCTGCTCATGGATAACAATAATCACGTAACTAAATATATACATTTTCTGATGCCACATGGATGCTAGGATGTTGTTGGTGGTTGCTTGGGCATTAACATGCGGTTGCTAGGGGGTTCTATGAGGTTGCTTATTGGCCTAAATAAAAAGAGTAACCCAAACCATCAACTCTATGATGGTATGGGTCTCTCCATAGCTTGTCTAAGGGATTTTTTCACCCGTTTTATTATCCGACAGGCAAAAATTATAGATCTGATCAAGTAATATCACTTCTCTCCTCAACAAGTCACACGGTTTGAAACCAATATCCCATTCTGACTGCAATAAATTATATTGCCTAAATGATTTTGTACTTTCCATAAAAGCATATTAGGCGGGAATAACACAGCCCTGCATCTTGAAAAAAATAAATAAATCAGCTAATAAAAAAAAAAGGCCTAGTATTACCTATTTTGATGATGCTGAGTTCAAAAATATCAATAAAAAACTTTCCATTTCTACAAACTTGCAATTGCAAGAAAAAAAAATCACTAAATCATTAGAAGAATAAGGATTTAGTGTCTTTTGCATGTCTCACCTGAAACCAGCTGTATCCTTCCTGCCAGGCAATATGCAGATAAGCGATGAAGAAGGAGGCAACCACGTGTCTCATGTAGTTGTTCATCCAGCCAGTTTGCCACAGCTGTCTCATTGCCGCATCTACCAGTGGGTATCCTGTGTATCCACGCTGCCATGCCTTCAGATGGACACGGTCTGAACTCCAGCGCAAAGCCTGCTCATGGATAACAATAATCACATAACTAAATATATACATTTTCTGATGCCACCTAAATGCTAGGATGTTGTTGGTGGTTGCTTGGGCATTAACATGTGGTTGCTAGGGGGTTCTATGAGGTTGCTTATTGGCCTAAATAAAAAGAGTAACCCAAACTATCAACTCTATGATGGTCTCTCCATAGCTTATCTAAGGGATTTTTTCACCCGTTTTATTATCCGACAGGCAAAAATTATAGATCTGATCAAGTAATATCACTTCTCTCCTCAACAAGTCACACGGTTTGAAACCAATATCCCATTCTGACTGCAATAAATTATATTGCCTAAATGATTTTGTACTTTCCATAAAAGCATATTAGGCGGGAATAACACAGCCCTGCATCTTGAAAAAAAAAAATAAATCAGCTAATAAAAAAAAGGCCTAGTATTACCTATTTTGATGATGCTGAGTTCAAAAATATCAATAAAAAACTTTCCATTTTCATCGGTTTTTAATGCATCTATATTTTGATAAGTGCGCTTATCGTATAATTTCATTAACAATCTTCAAAGGAGTGGAAAAAGTGGAAATTATGATCAGGCATAAAATGATGTCTTCAGAATCATTCATAAATGTGAAAATTGGCTAAGAATTGAACAAATAGTTATAACTTGGCTCAAAGGAAGACAGGAATCCTTGTGGCAGTTTTTCTGCTGATTAAGGGATAATACAAGACTTCTTACAAATGGTTGTCAAAAGCAAAAATGCTACAAAACGCATCATATTTTGTGAGAAAGTGTGACGCGCTAGAGCAAAACAGGCAGTATTTTTGGTATCAGCACCCCAAAATTGGTAAGAAACCTGTATTAGATTTCAGTCAGCAAACATGATGCAGGGCGGCATTATAAATATGAATCTTGCCTTGTACGGTGGTCTGAGGGACTCCCAGGGCAGGTCTGGGAAAAGGCACAGCTGCCAGTACGCCAGGTCCCTCCAGGCCAGTTTGCGCTGGAATTTGGGAGATCTGCAGCGAGCTCCACGGGCATCCCGTAATAGGCTGCATGCACTCAGCTGCCCAAAGTGCAGATATGGAGATAGAGAGCTGGTGTTGGGCTCAACCGCACGACTTGACTCCTTCTCATAACGGTACACACCTACAATGAAGTCAACTGATGAGCGCAAAATGATGGATTGGCTTGTAATGCTGCTATATTAAAACACGTGCCCTGGAAATATGTCTTACCATCTCGCAGGAAGGCCTCAAGATGAGCCTGAGCTCCTTCCTCACTGAAGTCCCATGATTTCCGAATGTTCACAGCCCAATCAATCTGTCAATATCACATCACAAAAGCACTTTAATCATGCAAAATGGCAACTTGGATCCAACTGCACTACTTTTCCATTGCTTTTTTACATAAACTTGCTAGAAGGTAGTCTTTGACTGCTGTGATTACAACCTTGCATCTTTTGCGGTGCCTTGCACATGACACAGGGGCAAAACGCAGTGCTCACGTTCAAATAAGTTCAACTTTTAAAAATGTGTCTCAAGACCTTGAGTTTTTAAAAAAAAAAATTTTTAATTCCACTGCCTGCAACTGAAAAATACACTCTGTGTGAATGGCACCTTAAGTTACATAAAGAGAGATCTTTCTGATATGTAGATAATAATAAAATTAATGAATCATAGTAAATTCAAATTATTATCCAAAGGATTTTTTTATATGACAAATGTGATACACATTTAAAAATCAATATAAATTATTTATTTTAAAACATGAACAATATAAACATAGTAATAATAACAATCATAATAATAAGCATAAAAACTTAATAAAAATAGCAAAATGAATTACCTAAGATTATTAACATAAATCCCCAAAATTGTTAGTTTCATAAATTGCAACAATAAGTACCTCAAAATTAAAATATTAATTATTTATTATAATTAACTAAAACATTTTTGATTGAATTAAAATAAATATTAACTGAAATAAAATAAAATATATATTTTTTTATTTCAGCTAGTTGCCAAAGCAACATTTCCCAATTGTAATTTAGTTTAATGTTTTAAAATAACTAAAACTTAAATAAAACTTTTAAAACCCTATATAGACACATATAAAAAAAAACTAAAACTACTAAAAATGGCAAAAACACTTGCTAAAGATTTGACTAAAATCAAAATGATTTTTTTGTTTTTTTTATAAATACAATTGATTCAAAATATTAATAAAAACTATAATAGTATCTCAGTGATAATAAAATCACACTGACTTGTATGACAGAAATAAGATGAACACAACTGTTGTGTGTTAGTTTGAATATTTCACCTCTGTGCCATCTTTCCTGCGTGGCATTCGTGCCAGTCCCAGATCAACAAGTGGGCATCCCTGCGGCCATGCTGAGGGAGCAGGCAGGGCAGCGGGGGCATCCAGCGGAGAGGTCAGTCCACTGCCAGGATTCTGCTGGCAACAACTCATGAAGTGAGAGACAGAGCCGATACCTGCAAATAATATAGAAACCTTTAAGAAATTAGCATTTTAGAAGTTTGTGGTGGTGTTTGCCCATGCAGAAGTTGTTTGCCCATGCATCATGCTAGGGTGTATTAAGTGGCTGTCAGGGCACTGCTATATGGTTGCCAAGGTATTCTTTAGTGTCTTGCTGTGCAGTTATTATAGTGGACGTTTAATTGCCCCAGACATTATTTTCTGATTTGTGGAATGATGAAAAAAGATATCCAAAACCCTCTCTGCTTGATCCAATATTCAGGTTTCTGTTCTGGAAATGTATGCAAATTGGTGCATATTTAATTAGACAATGTCTCATTTGCATATTTAAACATAACAATTCAGAAATGCATCATCTGCATAATTAAACACAACATTTCAGAGCATTGTTAATGTACAAATTACATTAAAAAAAAGTGTATTACTTTTTAAATAAGAATTTAAAAATGTATAAACAATCACCAATCAAGTGCAAAAAATTAATCCCCAAATTTCCACCCCATCAGCCCTGGCCTGCACTGCATTACCCACCTCGTAGTCCAACGCCCCGTGTGCTGACTGTGTAGGGGTCTCTAAGGCAGTAGGAGTGGTAGATATGGCACTTAACACCTTGTTTCTCCAGTTTCTCCCACACGCTGTCATCTCTTTCCTTCAGCCACGGCTCATACAGGGCTGTTGCCACAACCGACGCTGCCCCCGTCGCAGCGATTAACCCTTGCAGAGCTGTCAAAGATGAGGCCTCTGCCTTCAGCGTCACCAAGTGGCTTCTACGCTGCTCCAGAGAGCGGTTCAGACTCACTAGTGCCTGATGCAGCCAGTATTTAGACGCCCCACCGCTTGCCACGGTAACCCCTGGACCCTCCTCCTCCACCGCATTCCACAGGAAGACAGGAATGACAGGTGCACCAAGCTCCAGGCAGCCAATAAGAGCAGGGTTATCCCACATGCGGAGGTCCCTTCTGAACCAGAGCAGAACAGGTCGTGGTCCCGATGGGTTCTTCAACAAATGCGGCTTCTTACGCGGACGACGCTTTTGTGACCTTGTTGACTTTGTGACCTTGAGATCGTCATTGTCTTTATTTGTGTTTTTAATGGCACATGTGGTGTTATGTACTTCAGTATTTAGTGTCCATTTTGCAACAGCCTGGTTCTCTGCTACTACAGCTCCATCATTGACGTTTGACTGATCAACACCTGAAGTTACTGTAGTCAAGTCGGCATAGCTTTTGTAAGGCTGATGATCTGGTTTGGTAAGTTTGGTTTCATAAAGAGACTGTGTTAAGGCCAACTCTAATTCATCTGCTTCATCCTGAAAAAGCAACATACAAAATATGTTTTAACATACTGCACAACACAACATGCAGTTTAATCTGAATACCTCTTTTGTTTCTCACACACACAGAGAGAGAGAGATATATAGATACATCTGACTGTAGTCAAGTCGGCATAGCTTTTGTAAGGCTGATGATCTGGTTTGGTAAGTTTGGTTTCATAAAGAGACTGTGTTAAGGCCAACTCTAATTCATCTGCTTCATCCTGAAAAAGCAACATACAAAATATGTTTTAACATACTGCACAACACAACATGCAGTTTAATCTGAATACCTCTTTTGTTTCTCACACACACACAGAGAGAGATATATATAGATACATCTGTGTGTGTGTGTGTGTGTGTGTGTGTGTTTTCTATTTGAATATATTTTAAAATACAATTTATTCCCGTGATGCAAAGCTGAATTTTCAGCATCATATAGGCTCCTCCATGATCCTTCAGAAATCATTCAGATTTGCTGCTATATTTTATTTTATATATATATATATCATTATATATATTATTATATTAGGCTCTCTCAGCAGTTCACGGACCTGAGCCACGGACTTCATATCTCTGCTTACAGACATTTTCTTGGAGGAAATCCGTCACTTTTCAACGCAGTAAATATAGAAATTAAACATAAACTGACAGATACAATGCATCCGCGAGCCGCGTTACAAAACGAATGAGTTGAGAGGTTACACAAGCAGCTGCTGAGGGGCTTTCATAACCGACTGTAACATCGTCAGTACCGCTTTACTTGTGTTTATATCACATCCGTATGTTTCATTATCGAAAATGGATATAATGATGGATTGATTACTTACGTTAACTACATAAACTTTACTATCAGAAGCATGAGGACTATGTAACAGCGTCTCCAGTGACTTTAGAGGGGCGGTGCTGAATGAGCTGTCTGACCAATCCTGGTCGAGCATACTGCAGATGCTCCTCCCCCTTAGTGTGGCACGTGTTAATCTAAATATATGAGAGCCAATCAATCAGGAGCATTTAGGGAGAGAAACAGACATTTCAAAACCATTTTCTCTGCAAGTTTCTCTCTCCTGCTATACAGATACACGATGCCCCTTGACTTAAGTAGGTTTTAAAAATATTATTTTAAAAGCTTACATTTGGGTATTCATCCATTTATTTGCCAATAATAGCTTTCACATTTCATCCCTGTATTTGAAAATATATATTTTTAATATAATAATGATAATTAATTAATTATAATACATTTTATTTTCTAAATTTATTTATAGGGCCTACCTACATGACATGCATGTATAATTTCATATATACTTTTAAAATAGACCTGTAACTTTATGTATATATCTAACAAATAAAATATATGATTAAGAATATTACTTGTTGAAATTTATTTATTTATTTTTATTGCTTGCCTTGCTTGCAATTTCAGAGCTTTTTAGCTTTGATATTTTTAATTTTTCGGAGAAAAGGGCAGTTAAGTGATTGTACCAGCAGAGCTTGACAGTCTAATGCGACCTACTGTAATAATACCATCTAAAATGTTGTTAGCCACAGAGGCAATAATATTAAAATGAATATAAGAATTATTTCACACACACACACACACACACACATATATATTTATTTATTTTATTTATTTAGTCTAAAGAACAAAAGGTATAAGTGTATAATAATGATTCTAACATAACACTAAAGCCAAACACCAAAAAAAAAAAAACTACATATATGTGTATGTACAGCCACACACACACACACACACATATATATATATATATACATACATACACATTTATAAATTCAATATATATATTATTTCATTTCCATTTAGTTTGTTGAAGTATTAAAATAACTCAAATTAAATAAAACTAAAACTTAATAAAAGACCTATACAGACATAATAAATTCAGACATAATTTAACTCAAATTAAAATAAATAACAAATACAAATAATACAAATCAAACGACACTGTCGTTTAACACTGTCAAACACATGCTAAAAAACAATAACTTACTTACACATATATATATATATATAATTTTTATTTCTATTAAATAGATGGTATATTTTACTGGTTCAATAATTAAGTAGTAAAAATTAAATGGCTTAGTGGCTTACATGCTTTTTAAAACGTATCCATTGACTCTCTTTGAAGCTCAGACATAGATATACTCACACACAGAGACACGTGTACACAGCACATGATGTAAAACAATGTGTTACTATCTTTTTCTTTCATGTGTATTGACTTACAAGTGGACTAAAGTCTTTCTAAAGAGGAACAAATAGCTTTAAAATGAAAATTGAACAGGGAGCCTGTGTTTGAGGACAGTGTAATCAATAATGTTTAGACGGCAGAACAAGTCTAACAGACAGCAGATCAATACAGACGAGCCCCACCTCCCTCCACTCTGTCCCACTGACCTCATCATATGATCTGATCAGCTCTTTATTTAAAGCTCAGCGGCCGCTGAGTGAAGGGCGATTACAGAGAAAGAGACTGAGAGTGGCCCGAAAGCAGTTAACCACTTCATTGGGCACAAAAAACACTCTAAATGTTACATAAAAGCATAAATAAACTAGATTTTTACATTTTCCGAAGAAAATATGAGTGGTCACTACTGTAAATGTAACACTCGCTGCCATAATGCAAGGGTGTTGTGGGTGGTTGCCAGGGTGTTGCTATGCAGTTGTTAAGGTGAGTGGGTTTTAGAACATTGCCATGTGGTTGCTATTTTTAAATGCTATTAAAAGAATATTCCAGGTTAAACACAAGTTTGACAGCATTTGTGGCATAGACAGATGTTGATTACCACAAAATACATGTCACAGGTCCCTCAAATTAAAATTAATTAATTACTTAATTAAACAAATAATAAGATAAAATCAGGGTTACAATTTAGCATCAGAAGCAAATGGGGACCATTTTTTGGAGGATTTATGAGCAGAAATGTGAAAAACATTAATATTATTTGAAATATAAAGCTGTTAAAAATCAGAATTTTATGAATAAATAATACAGTATATATGATTTCATTATATACATACATTTTCATTTAGAAATCGCTATTAAATTACAAAGAAACAGCAGTTAACTACTGAAACAAGTTGAATTAAACGTGAAATTTTGAAGTAGAAAGGCTGAAATAGTATTTTCTCGTAAAATCTACTCAAATAATCTTATTCACAACACTTTTTACAGCATGTGTGTGTGTGTGTGTGTGTATATATATATATATATATATATATAAATATATATTAAAGAACATTTAGAATTAATTGTATTTAGCTCCAGCAACTACATTGCAATGCAGAACCTTTAAATACATTTTTAAAAAGACAATTAATATTCAGTAATAATATCGATTTGCCTGCACTGACACTATAGATAAAAACAAAACTTGAACTGAATTGAGCTGAATAATGACACTATTGTCTTCTGTAGAACTGCTTTATAGCTGAAATTGAATTTGTTTAATAATTTAAGAATTTTGCAATGCTAACTGTCACTCTCCTGTTTATTACTGTAAAGCTACTTTGACACAATCTGTATTTTATAAAGCATGTTTTATATGAACTGACATAAAACATAACGTTTCAGTTTAATTTATTCAAATGAAAATGCTTGGTTGTCAAACAACAGGCTTTGCAGGAAAAACAGAGTGAGTGGAAGGAATTGAAGGAAATAAAAAGACGAGTAAAGGAAATAAAGCTATCAAGGCGTGTAAGTGGAGTCATATATGGAGCCTGTTGCCATGGAAATGCAGGGAGTGATTTCAATTGGCTGCTTTGAGTCTGACCTCTGATTTGAGTGAATGCTCATTCAGAGACATATGAGGTGACCATCTTTTTCCAACGCTGATGGCCTCAACCCAAAATCTTGGACAAAATCAAATGTACTATGTACTGTTTGCTCTTTGTTTTCTACCTGTTCTATTCTGCATGTTTTCGTGTGGAGTAAATGTATGTCTGTGCATCTGTCTCTCTTAAGCCGCTTTCTCTGGCTCTCTCATTAATGCTCCGCTCAGACGCTGTATAGCAGGTGGCAGGTAGAACTAATCGCTCTGAAGATTACAAATAAATGAAGAGAAACATGTTTTAGAAAAACGGTGGAACGAACATCATAAATCATCCAGCCTGGAACAGGTTCCTCCTCATAACGTTTCAGTTTAATTTATTCAAATGAAAATGCTTGGTTGTCAAACAACAGGCTTTGCAGGAAAAACAGAGTGAGTGGAAGGAATTGAAGGAAATAAAAAGACGAGTAAAGGAAATAAAGCTATCAAGGCGTGTAAGTGGAGTCATATATGGAGCGTGTTGCCATGGAAATGCAGGGAGTGATTTCAATTGGCTGCTTCGAGTCTGACCTCTGATTTGAGTGAATGCTCATTCAGAGTCATATGAGGTGACCATCTTTTTCCAACGCTGATGGCCTCAACCCAAAATCTTGGACAAAATCAAATGTCCTATGTACTGTTTGCTCTTTGTTTTCTACCTGTTCTATTCTGCATGTTTTCGTGTGTAGTAAATGTATGTCTGTGCATCTGTCTCTCTTAAGCCGCTTTCTCTGGTTCTCTCATTAATGCTCCGCTCAGACGCTGTATAGCAGGTGGCAGGTAGAACTAATCGCTCTGAAGATTAAAAGTAAATGAAGAGAAACGTGTTTTAGAAAAATGGTGGAACGAACATCATAAATCATCCAGCCTGGAACAGGTTCCTCCTCACTGTCCGCACACTGACACACACGCACACACGCAGACAAATGACATTACTGAAATCACATTACTGCTGCCTTTCAGGAAGGACGCACGAAGGGGAAAAGAGAGAAAAGGTGACAGAGAGAGAGAGAGAGAGAGAGAGTCATATTAGATGAGGCTTTAAAGTGACAGATCTGGAAAAGAGGAAAACAGAGGATTTTGTATATCTAAAAGCTTGTGTAATAATAATAATAATAATAATAATAATAATAATAGAACTGCTTAAACAGACTGCATAATAATAATAATAATAATTACTATTATTATTACTATTACTATTATTACTGTTTGGCGTTTACACAAGCTTGAATACATATTATATAACAATAATGATAATAATATAACTGCTGGAACAGATAGCATAATAATAATAACAATAATAATAATAATTATTATTATTGTTATGCATGTTTTCATGCACAGTCTGTGCATCTGTCTCTTATAAACCTCTTTTTCTTGCTCTTATTATTATTATTGTTATTATTATCATTTTGCAGTCTACACAAGCTTTATTATATAATATAATAATAAAGATAATATGACTGCTTAAATAGGCTGCAAAAATAATACTAATAATACTAATATAACAGTAATCATTATTTTGCCATTTTTTCATTATTAATATAGTATTTTATTTAATCATACGCTGAATTAATTATATTAGGTATCTTGTTATTATACTCAAATAGACTTGGTTTTATGTTTCTTAAAATGTATCAATTTAATGATAAAGCAAATTGAATCTACAATAATTACAAATTTGATCAAACTTGTTGTCACATAATGTAAAAGCTTTTCTTATTCTAACATTGTAAACATTTACTTATGTTTTTTCCATGTTTTTTTTTTTTTTTTTAAGTTTTCAATCACGAAGGTCATTCTTTGGATTTCAGTGCAGCTGATGATGCGACCTCATATAGCATGTCTATGGGAGGGATGGAGAAAACATCTATAGTTTGTGTTCTAGGGCATAAAAACATTCTGCATACTTATCATGGCAGTCACAGGGCATTAGTTTAATGCTCATCCCTCAAATAATGAATTTGCAGCAGCAGTGCAGACACAGGCTGCAGTTTTATAACTGTCCTCTGGAGGTCACTGTTTGACAGTAAGTGCAGCATCAGCAGGACAGCAGCTGAATCACACCACACTACCACAGCCTGCAGTGACAGAGAGAGAGAGAGGACAGAAAATGTCATTATACATTATTTGTGACTTTTTGTTATAGCAGTATGTGTTTGTGTTTATGTGCTCATTTCTCTGTGTTTTTGAGAGACGCAGCAAAAGGAGAAATGGACAAAGAAAAAAATGCAAAAAACAAATCAGAACAAGAGGAATCAGGGGAGAGCGTAATCCTTTGTTCTCCTCTATTCACTTGGAGCGCGTGTCTGACTCCCTATAGGCGGAATTTCATTTTGCAGCATCTCACAGACACACACACTCAAACACCATGTAATTTGCCCTCCAGGGACACTATCATTTTTGTATTTCTGCCTGTGTATTTCAGATGAAGTGTGCAAGTGCATACCCTCTTTAAGTTTATTTTGGGTGTTTCCTTGTGATACAAGTAATATTATTTTCCCTTCATTCCTTTTCTTATGCCTGCATGAATAATAATACCGTGTGACACAAAACCTTGATGTAAGATTCTTGATTAGAAGTTTTTGAGAAGGTCATGGATATATGAAACATGGATTCCATACACACTTTCAGTGTATGCACTTAAGTAGCTATATGCTCATTGCTTTGGTCCTAACCTCAGGCCGGTGTAAATCTACAGTGCTCTCCCAGACACACAGACAGACTAAAAGATCAAAGCTTCTGATTCAGCACAGTCTAATACAGGACAAAGAGAGCTAGTCATAAACCAAAAAATACATTTGAAGGAATACAGGGATTTGGAATCATGAACATGTACTGTATGATAATAATTGCCATGTCCAGTGTCCTGTTTTATGTTTAAGGTCTCTATTATAAAGTCAAATTCAAACACATCGAATTTATAAACCTGTATCTTGAAATGTAGAAAGAAAACCAAAGTAATGGGTTTTCTTAGGGAAAGTAACACAAAGACTGAGCGCACTGCAAGCTGCTTCGGTTAACGTCATTTGCCAAATGCATAGATGAAATAAAAAGATGATAACAATACAGAAAAAAAGAGATAAAAAGTAATCATCATATAATATTGGTGAAAATAAAATGATTTTCTCTTCTGCATTGTGGCTTGTACTCATAGCCAATTGGATAATGCAAATTGTATCTGACATAACATTATCTAAGCATTTGTTTAGTTTATTATTTATTTATCTTTTAAGATTTAAAGTATAAAGAATGTATAAGACAAAGTGTAGATAAATTGTAGATTCTGTAACCCCCCCCCCCACCACCATTTTTAATCGCCTCCCTGCCTTCACTAGCTCAATTTAAATAATCCTGTGGTGTGACAAATTAATTTTTAAAAGTACAAATATTTCATGTAGGTTCTCAATTAACACGAGGACATAAACACTGCATGCATAATTAAAAATGAATTAGAAAAACACTGTTTAAAATTGTTTAAAACAGATCACGTCACGCTGCAGGACAACTTTCCATTATTCCATATATGTGCATTCCTTTTTTAATATGTAAATTTTGCACTTATTAAACATTATATTTCCTTTGAGTATTCTATACTGCTTTAGATTATCTGTTAATATTGCATGTTTCCAAGGGGCAAAAATCAGTACAATCTAGATCATGGCTGATGAAATTCTGCGCTTATTATGCATTTGCATACAGCTGCATACATTATATTTCCTTATTCTACTCTACTCTACTCTACTCTACTCTACACCAAACCAGGTGGGATATGTTGGTGCTTTAGATTATCTGTAAATATCGCATGTTTCTTCTTGGGTCCACCAACAAAAATCAGTACAACAGATGATGGCTGATGAATTCTGCACTTAATAGTCATTTGCATACATTTTATTAATGTATTCTATTCTATTCTGTTCTGTTCTGTTCTGTTCTATTCTCAGGACCAGGTTGATTTATGATATTTGGATGGTTTAGGTTATGTTAATACTGCATGTTTCTGCTCTGTTCCACCAGCAAAAATCAGTAGAATATAGATAGTGGTTGATGAAATTCTGCACTTAGGAGTCATTTGCATACAATTTCTTAATGTATTCTATTCTATGCAATCCGGACCAGGTGGGTTTATGATATTTTGATGCTTCATATTATCTGTTAATATTGCATGTTTCCTCGCGGTTCCACCAGTAAACATCAGTATGATCTAGATAATGGCTGATGAATAAGCAATGCTTTTTCATTTTTTTTTCATATTTTTGTTGTTGTTGTTGTTTCACAGAGCTAAGACCGATTTAATGATATTCATTTGAGTTTAGGTTGACTTCACACACTCTATAGCTCGGAGCAGAATACATTTTGAAAGAGGGAAGCTCCTAATATTCAGCCATTAGCTCTAATAAACAAAACTGCCCTGAAGTATTCCCACAGCAAATGGAAAGAGAATGAAATAAAATGCGAGACGGATTTAAAATTATACATTTGTTCTGAAGGAATATGAAGTAATAAATAAAAGCGAGAGGTTTGCTTGTCCTGTGTGGAAAACAGTCTGAGCTTGTGTCTTAAAATAGAAAGCACTGCATGCTCACATGTCTATTTGTGCATGAGTGAGTGAACATGCCAACACACATGCATGCAAGAGCCTGACAAACATGATGCCGGCACATAATAAAGACACCCGCTGGTGATCTCCATGGCAACGCTACCTGACAGCCCCGTGACATGCATGGTAAGTTTTATTCCACGGTGATCTTACAGTTATATCCCACCTCTCTGTCTGTGTGTAGGTGAGGAGATTTACTCTCTGTGGTCCTGCTAATGGACAGATGTGAGAATAATGTAGTGTAGAAGACCAGAGATCCTGTAGCTATCGACCAAGAGATACTCGCACACACGCACTCACACATATACATTTTCTTGAACACCATATCAGAGTGGAGGTCAGAGGTCAGAGCAGAGGCTGATGGGAAATGGGATTTATATTCCAAGGCGACCATGCGGCCTCCAATTATTGTTACTCACTTAAATGTGTGTGCATAGAGCGAGTGTGTACATGTGGATGAGCTGACTGAAATGCAATTTGCATTTGTTTGGTAGCCATATTTTAAGCACACACCTCACACATTTTTCAATGCAACTTAGTATGTTTTTGCAACAAAGATGATAGTATGTGTGTGGCATTATGGGTAAACTTACACAGATATGTTTGAATCCGTTCCCCCGGCAGTGTCCTGCCAAAGAAAACATCTCATATCCGGTCATCTTTTTAAATTGCAGGAAGTGCATCCACTCAGTCCGAAGGGCACTGCAAATGGCATATACGGAACAAGTGTAGACTGACAGGAAGTTACTAAAATAAACACAAAGCTTTTTTTAATATAATGAACCAAAGAACATTTGTTTTCATGTTAAAATCACACACACACACACACACACACGTACAGTATATACTGTATATACATATATATATACACACACATACATATACATATATACAACTATATCAATTATTCATTCATTCATATAGACTGCTACATATATATATACATATATATATATATATATACTGTGTAAGTGTTTGTGAGTATCACATCACAGCTTTTGTGTACTTTTTGCATTTTCTGTGGAGGGAAATCTGGCAAGTATGGTCAAATGTATTAAACGGGACTGAGAATACTACATTGAGCATTTACATATTAGCCAAAATATTTCAGAAATGAACGTGCAATATAATGACCTCATTAGCCATTTTAAAAGACATTGTGTCTTGACTCACTGGGTATAAATCATCAATTTGATGCAATTAAACTGGCATAATAAATCAAGCCTGGAATTTTAAATTGTGTTTAATATTACCATCTATTCACTCATATTCAAGATTTTGGATGGCCCTCATTTTTCTAATCATGTCAAAATATATATTTTTCAATATATTTCAATCAATTTATCATCTATTATGATAGTAAAAGCAATGTTTAAGACAAACCAATTTACATCAAAGTGATAAATAAACCAGTTCTACTGTTATTTATCTTACATAACTAAAAAATTAAACATTAAGAAACTAACATACAGGATACTGTACAGATCTGTAAAAAATAAATATTTTAAGGATCAATATTTTGTTATCTTTAAACAATCCAAAAAAATAATAATAAAATAAAATTGATAATTAGAATCAGTATTTACAATAAAAAAAACATGACATACAAAAATATGCACCTCTAAGCACATATTGCAACCAAAATTTGGTTTGTTTCCTTGTTGTTGCATCTGTTTGCAATTTTAGGCCCCTTCCTTTGAAAATCATAATTTCCAGAGTAATTCAAATAATTTCAAAGCTTATAAATATAAAGACATTCTATAGCCAAGAAGAAAACACAACCATGAGTGTTTCCTCCAGCAGTATGTGTGCCACACATCCATTAGTTCTCTTCTGTGTAATGGGACTTGATGCCCAGCTGGGCAGACATGCTCACAAGGCAATACCTCTTGGTAATCTTGACGGCATGGCATTTCCCCTATACAAACCCTTAGAGACAAAAAGGTGAAGAGTAAACAAGAAAAAGGGAGCGAGTGAGAAGAGATTAGAGATTGTAAAAAGAAAGAGGTATCAAGACACACATAAGAGACTTTTGAATTGTTCAAAGCTGAAACCTCACAAATTTCAAAGAGTATTTGCATATGCATTCCACTAAATGATATGCTAATCTGCTTGATTTGCATAGCAGAGACCTCATGTTGCGAAACGCTTCATGCTTAGATTCACCGAATGAAAGAATAGAAAACAGAACAGAAGGGAGTACAACTTGTTGGGGCCCAGCGAACAGGCTTGGGTGTCTCTGGAAGTCACGCTGTACGGACATGAATGCTGAAGTAAACACAATGCTCCACATATCAGAAATAATTTCTACCACTCAGCCATCAAAGAGAGCACATGGATCCAAAGTAGAGCGACTGAATGAAGGATGGATAGAGAAAAAGGTTGAAGAGTTAGAGAGGGAGGGTGTGTGGGGGGGAAGGGCACGACGCAGAGTGGCGAATGAACACGATGGTTTTGCGAGGTTGGCACAGTGCCATCCACTCAGTGCCGGTGCCAAAGAGGGCGTGTAGGCAGGGTGGCACTACAGAGGAGAGAGGAGGAGAGACAGATAACGAGAGAAAAGAGAGGCATCATCCTGCTGCCAATCCTCCAAACGAAATGTTCCCGAGCATTGGATTCAAAAAGTTGGAGCTCTTTGAAGATCCATCTGCCAGCTCGTCAGCATGGCAACTGTGTGAGTATGCAAAACGGAGCGTACAATGCATTGCGATAAACTGATGCGGTGCCTCTTAACGAACCTTTTATCCTCTTATTGTTTCAGAAAAGCGCAGATCTCTTCACCACAACCTCATAATTTCGTTTCCCAAAGGCTTCGCCATCCTGTGTTTCACCGTCTCCTTCATGACCGTGCCAGGCTCTAAGTAGGCACGTCCCCTAGAGAGTAAGCAGCAGATGCCCCAAAGTCGATGCCACTCAATGCGGGTACGATGGCATCTGCTCAGTCATAATGGAGATATGAGACTTGTCTTGTTATTCTCGTTGGCACGCGTCAACCTTCGGCAGCATGCCAGGATCTCTGCACTGCTGTATGCCGCTGGGAAGTTGGCGGTGGCTAGGGAATGGCAGAGTGCCAGCATGTTCCTGCGGTAACCAGCCCCCGACGCGTGCCACTTGGCAAAGACAAAGAGCCCTAGGGACGAAATACAAAACAAGACTGAAAAACACAGTGATCCGACAGCTTAATTAACACTCACAGAGTTTGTTGGGTTAATTAGTGTGACAGATTTGGTGAGGAGGAATGTGGCAGGAACACTTGTGAGAACAAAAGTGATGGGCAACCCAGACTGATGGAATGTCATCGGATGCCATCAGTAACTCCGCCAACCCTGTGCCAATGGCACTTTACATTCAACAGGGTTTGTAAAAGGATAAATGGAATGAAAAGGAAAAAAAAATCAAGAAACAGTCTGTCATTCAAAAACAAGTTTGTTTCAAATTTTGGACAAGAAAGAAGATGAAGCATTGGGGAAACAACTGTGGATACAAGCAAACAGGGAGGAGCTAAAGAAACCACAGGCCTTGACTTATCATACAGTGACTCAACAGATCAATTAAAACACTAAAGTCATTATGGGATATGGATTTTATGTACTGCAAAAACAAAACAGAATGGTTTGCATAAATCAACACAAGCAAGAGTGAATTTTCTCTAGCACGTCGGGAACACCAAAAGGATACATGTTGGCGGGTATTAGTATTGTGAAATTTACCAGGAGGATGCACTACTTCTGCAATTTGATGGACCTACTAGAGCTTTCCAAATGCAAGGACAGGACCTTAAACCATCATATACGCAGAAATGGGTGATTTTGTGCTTAAAATACCTGTTCTGATGATCCTCGAAACTTCCTGTTGAGTCAGAGAGAAGATGATGCCGCTCAGAAAGTGAGTGAGAGAATTCAGTCCCTCACTGGATGCGTTTGACATTGTAGAGGAGTATAAATAATGCAGGTTTTCTCTCCTCCTCTTCCTTCTGGTGCTTTCTGAAGGAAGGGATTTACACACCTTTGTGCTTTGAATCTTGCATTGGCATCGTTCTCGTTAAGCGACGCAGGATTGGTTCCGAAACGGGCATTGTTTTCAGCATAACCTTCGATAAACAAGTTCAAATAGACGTTAACAACCTCATGAAATGGTCCGTTTAATTTGCGGGGTTTTTTTTTTTTTTTGCTTTTACGTCTTTCTTTGTACCGATTGTGGACAATTATGTACGGATATGCTAATCGCGCTGTATTAATGAGGTTTGTATCACTGGGATTCTCTTCTTTACTCCTGTGGGGATCTTAATTTTACCTCATCTTTATTATGTAAATGGATTATGCCAAAAAAACTGCACACACACACACATACACTAATACAAAAGGGGTGCGTCAAAGGAAGAGGGAATAAGGCAACAGTGGGGGGGGGGGAAGCAGCAAATGGAGGATACGCTCCCTCAGCAGCACCAAAATGCAAGAAACTGCACAGAAATGTGAAAGGATCTTTTTCCTCAATGCACCATGTACCAAGACACAGGATTTTTTTTTTTTACTTTTTCTTGTAGATATTTCTGCTACAGCAGTCCTGCAATGGAGTGACAGAGACGAAGATGGGATTTACTAGATGTAAAGAGAGAGAAAGTACAAGAGAGAGAGAGAGAGAATTCGTTAATATCCTGCGCTTAATCATGGCACATGAGATTGGCTGTATGCATATCTCATTTGCATCTCATTAAATTGCTCGTGCACCTGCAGAGAGAGGGGAGAGGGGCAGAGGACAGCACAACGAGAAATGAGGGTCTTCTTTCAATATGCAGACTGTTTCTTAAGCAGTTACTATGTATAGACTTTTACATATATAATACACATTGTTTAAATCACATAATGTACTTATATTCCATGCCAATGCTCTGTGACATTAAATACTTAAAATCACTCTCTGGGAAAATAAAAATGAGATTTTAAGATATTGAGGCATTAAATAATCCATATGTTTCAGAGGATGTAAAGTCCAGCATTAACCAGCAGTTTAACGTATGCATGATTAGTATGCAGCTCTTTGCGTTTTTTAATAGAACTCAGGGTGAAGACTATTGTCTCTGATTCCAGGATGTGCCATCTGCCTGGCTGCAGAGACTGGCCTTCCTCTTTGTGTTTTGCACAATGGGCTATTCTACACTGGACATCCACACATAACTCAAATAAATCATGCCCCAGCCAACAGGCCACCAGAGGACCACTGCAATATTTTCCATAAAAGAGAAGAGAAGACCGCACGCGGCGTTGGGGCGAGATTAGGAAAATTAGAAATTTTCCATTACAGAAATATAATGACAAACACAGTTGGAGGACAGAAATAGGAAGGAGAGGAGAAGAACAAGATGGGACAGAAAAGGGAAAGTGAACGGAAATGAATAACTGCACTTTAAATATTACTCCCACTCACCTCCTACGTTCATCATAACGTAATTTTCCTTAAATATTTTGTAAATAAAGTGCAAAACAGCGTCCGACCTCCAGACCCAAGAATGGCCATTCTCCGATGTGACTTTAATGTAATTACTCTGAGACGGATATATTTCAATCTGTATGTAAACACTGCAGCAGCAAGGTATAGGTATGATAGAAATGTCTGCATCGATTACCCACTATGAATATGAAATGTTTAATCTCGTTAAAAA